ACATTTGGGTGTTGGAACCACACAAAATATTTACATCGTGCCTTATCCGAGGTTTACAGTTTAAGATTCGCTGTTATGTTTTGTATCATTTGTTATTTTTATGTTTGACAAATCATGAATTTTACTCGTAATTACCATTTCATACCCTTCAGAGCTAAAATAACTGACTTTTGTTTCCTTTTTATAATCTGTTTTATCTAAACATTAATATGAGCTCTTCGTTTCTCATAGTGACCGCTATTTGTGACATGAAGTAAAGCAACTCGATGAAAGATGGATCAAAACATCATTCTTAATAAACCTTCGTTTGACAAAGAAATTTACCTTCTTAAGGCCCATTATACATAGACAGATTTTGTTAATATAATGAAGTCCCTCTTTCACTGTTTTCGTCAATTTAGTTTATTCATGATTTTGTGTAAAATTAGCACAAAAAAAAGAGATATCTGAACTATTACAACCGATGACATTACTCTTACCCAGATAATGATTACTCTCGTTTCCGAAAGATGTCTTTGAGGGTTCAACGAACGTCCTATTTCATGTTATCTCTCACAGTTGAATGTAACAGTGTTATTCAGGTAACCATTTGGACACAACTTGCATTTCATACTTCATCAACATTCCTGAAGTTGAATTAACTTCTTGTGACAGGAGAAAATTGTAATTTATTCATATGTCGGAAATTGAATATCATTTACGTCCTTGAATGGCGTTTTAAAATAGTAATGATATAACACATGTCCATCTATATATCAATCTTCCTCTCTTCCTCTCTTCCTCTCTTCCTCTCTTTCTCTCTTTCCCTCACTCTGAGGGATAGAGAGGTAAGATTCGTATCCGCGCACGGCCATGTACGATTATGTGAGTTTTATCATATCGGCAAATGCAAACTGAACCACACAACGAACTCTTTGTAAACAAACGACGAGGATTTGAATTTCCTGTAATGGCTTTTCAATGTCTTCCTGTATCTCCCACATCGTATCAAATTATTCAACTGATTAATTTCTCCAAGATATGTTTACATCATGCAAAGTTTCGTAGCCATCCTAGGGCGACAACAATAGCTCAAACAGCGTTCTAGAATATTTCTCAATCGCAAGTATCGCCGTTTTCATAAAAAGGTTAGGTATAAAAGCTTGACGTCAAGCGGGAAACCTCTATATAGACTATATAGCGCTTCGATTGCTTTTGTGCCATAAGATATAATATTTTCGCATTTTGAAATTATGTGAGCCACGCCGTGTATTTGTGTTTAATATAAAAAGAACATTGTGAGCAAATATTTGAAAAGAGATAAACCAATGGAAATTCGTTGAAAAATTTCGAATCAACATTTGGAGATAACTGGAATAATAATTTACTCGTGGAGCTAAATATGCGCGTAAATTTCACATTCGGACGATGATTGTGTACTTTCCCTACTCAAGAAACTTCCTTTAACTCATTTGAATTATATGGCGACTTTTTCTCAGCTCGTTTTGTAACTCTTAGCTGGTTACTTGCTGAAGACGGCTGTAGAGTGTACAAAGTGCTAAAATAATATTCTTTTCATCACGTTAAACCTTCCAACAATTAAACTTTTGTTTCTCCTCTACATCCATACAGAAGACAGGTGACTAATAGCCTTAAAAAATAGCGTGAATAACAATATGTCGTTTTTATAATACATTATCGTTTTCATTTTTACGTCGAGGGATTTGTACTTAAAATGGCATTTTCCCTCTTCGTTGAAAAAAAAAAAGATTTTGATATAAAGTCTAGAGCTTTTTTGATTCAAAACTCAAAGTAAATATAAATGTTTAAAACGTCAATTCGTTCTGAACGCATGCGTCCTAGGTATGTTAAACCCAAAACCTGTTTGGATGTTTACTCGCACTTCCTATGCACTGTCCTTTAAAATTTCAGGGAAAGAAATGAACAAACGACGCCCGGAAGGTTTGGTAATACTGAATTTTGGTCATTCGTAATCGATAAATTGCGTTCACCTGGTTATTTCAGAGCGTGTTACTCATAAACCTGCCGGTATTACCTGTCAGCTATCATCGAGTGTCTCGCTGATGTTTGCTCTGTATGGAGTAAGGAAAAGACAACATTTATGTTAATACAACACGAGCTTGTTTCTTGTCGCTTATAATTAGTCGCAGTTGCGAATACGCCATCGAAAATGGTGACGTTGCACGAGACACAGAATGAAATGACATTGACTTTAACGGGCAATAATTCTCGTCAGGACAACGATGACTTGGATATGGGTCTTGCAACACCTGTAAGAGGATTTCTGATTATTATAAACATCATACTCGCCATCCTTGGAAATTTTTTTATCATTTTGACTTATTGCCGCAACTTTAAAATGCGAACTACCACCAATACTCTAGTGGTAAGCTTGTGCATCTCCGATCTGCTCTCTGCCATAGCAGACGCTCCGTTTTGGATCGCTATCCTCGCCAGAGATTTGGTTTATTCAAATTTTGTTGTTTGTCGGGTTCTGATCTCATTTCAAGACTTGTTTGTGGTCGCTGCTCTACTGAACATGTGCGGCATCGCACTGGATCGGTTTATAACACTTGTCAAGGGACTGAGAAGAAAAATGACTCGAAAGCGGGCGCGTATGATAGTGATGTGGTCGTGGTTACAAGCCATTCTTTCCGCCCTGCCTTGGTGTCTGGTGAGTAGCACATGCAAGGGAAGATGTTATTCCTTCTTTCCTCATATCTACGAACCAGAAATAACACCTCGAATAATCAACATTATGTTCAAATCAAGCAATTTAGTTCTGCCAATTTCAATCATTTACTACGTATTCATCCGCATTGTAAACTCCGTCAGAAGCAGCCGGAAAGTAAACTTGGATAACAGTTACATTTCGCGAAATAGCAGCGCCGAGAGGTTCGCCGTGGATGCATACAAACGCTCGTCAAAAACTGCTATTATCTTATTTACTATGTTTTTACTTTGTACATTATCCTATTTGACTGTCGTAATTTACTCTGTTTTCACGGGAAACCAGTTGATCAATTTTAGCGCCGGTTTCGCCATTTATTTTATATTTTCACTTAAGCGATCGCTTTTCCCTGCAATATACATATTTAGGAACAGGATGATCGTAAGCTATTTACAAGAAACACTCCGGTGTGGAATTTGTCTTGAAATTTCAAGTTCAAACCCACGAAATTCGTTTACCTACACGCAGAACAACCACAGCTCTTGTTTCGCTGCGTTTTGTAGAAGTTCCTGTCGTACTCGGGTTCATCCTGCTGTTTATGACGGAGAACATCGCCAGTTTCCAAAACACCTGGATATGTACTTTATGGGAAGCATCAGGGACACAAAATCTATCATTGAGGATCAATTTGTCAACATAGTAGTAATAGAAAGAAGAGAAAATGAGTTTGAAGTACGCAACGAAGCAACCAATAACGATGTTATGGTACCTTAAACTGCTCTTATCTGTGGAAATCCTAAAACTGTGATATCAACTCTTGAACTGCAAAACATACTTTGTTTAGCCGTCCCTGCTCTTTCTTGTATTTAAAACGAAACTGTGTTACTATCATACACAGCAAGTAACAAGCGTCTTATTTTGATTCAAATTCTACATGACTTTAATTTACTTTCCATTATATTTAGAATAATTCATATAGAGGGTAGGGTCACTTCACAAATTCACACTTTGCTCGCCCTACTAGAATATCTGGTATAAATGTGATAAAATATTGTGCTTCAAATTAACTGACTGAGTTTCCCGTGACAGTGTTTTGAAAGAATGAGGCCTATCAGAGTTATTGAATTCATTTTTCTCCACGTGCTAAAGGGACTGTTCCGGTCTGCCGCATGAATGATGATTACAAACTAAAAATAAGTTAAGAGATCAATCTCATATTCAAGGTTTGTAGTTCTAAGGGCTAAAATCTTAACTGGATTATTCACACACTTCCATGTGATCATCTAACTTTACAGGGGTTACAGCTCATTGGACTAACTGAAATTTCCACATTTGTAGAATATAAGATTTTATATAACCAAAACGAAAAAAAATGAATAACAATCGAAATTCGTGAAATTGGCGCAAATGGAGATAACCTTTTTTGTCGAGCTTAACAGCTGGAAAAAGACTTTTAATAGAAAGATTTTGTATGAACGATCAGCACTTTTGAGCGCCATGACTCTGTTAATGCCTCATGAATAGTAGTGAAGGATGAGTCATCAGTACAAGATTGAGGCAACCATAAAAGTTACGTTCGCCTAATGACTGATAAGTCCTGACTGATAGAAGTTTCGAAAAATACATTCGATCTTGGTACTCAATATGAATGACAGTGGAGATTTCAATACCGTAAGTCCTACACTTCATGATTTGTAGATCTTTTGGGTTAACATTTCTTAATTTTTATTGTTACACTCACTACTTTTCACAAATCATCAGCTTAATATATGCACAATAGGATGGAGCATACACAATAAGTTTGTTTGTTAGCGCAGGTGCAACCATATCTTTTCCTGTTTCTTTCTTTTTCTCACCCTCTCAACAACTGTGTTTGTCTTTCAACTTCCCCTTTTTCCTGCATTGACCGAAAAGCTACACATCAAATTATATCGAAAAAATATAAAGCTGGGACTGGATATGATAAAATAAACAGAGAACCTCTACCCGTTCATGTGCAAATGATCTGTGACAGTTCTTGGAATAATTTCCTTATTTTTAGCACAAAAACAGATATCACTTCAAGAACTAATCTTTTAAATGAGCAGACTTGTTTCGACCTCCTGCTTTTTATTGTTCCGACCTTTTCTTGTCAACAACCACTCGGCGCTAGATAACCTTTATAAAAAGCCTTTAATCTTGACTAAGTTTAAACCCAATTTATTTTTAGAAAACAGTTATGTATTATAATAAGAAGAGATGTACCAATGAGATACTGGTGCCTATGATCACAAAGATCCATTAAGGAAAGTAATGGAGTCATAATTATTAAAGACATCAATATCAATCATCTATTGGCTTGTCCTTGAACCCCAATAAATCTAATTAATGACTTCACTAGTTCGTGCATGTAGCTTTTACATTGCAGATGTAATCTACATCAAAATACTTCTTTTCGACTGACATGCCGGCCAACGTTAAGTGTTTCTTCGTGAATGTTGTGTTGGGTATATATATACACACAACAAAACGCCTAATAAGTTATTTATTATCCAACACTTACAGAAACTGAACATATATGAACAGCACTAATAATAACCTACTAATCGTCAAATAGATTTAAAAGGAATCAGTAGGAATCAGGAATGACGACGCTAACGGTAAAGGTCGATCAACTCATGTGGCAGAGTTATGGTTGTGTGAATGAGCGAAATTCAGCGATGGCAGACGTGGTAAATGGACACTTGGCCGAAGTTAATCCTACGCATCACCCCTCAGGGAATAGCACAGCCGAAATTCGGTATCTCCCTCACTGGTTAATTAAGCTGTAAGTGGGCAGTAGAAAATCTTTCTTTCAGACTAATTTATCTTCAGATTAAATTATCTTCACGTCATTTCTTCTTCACTAAGCGGAAATGAACTCTCTCATCATTACATGTTCCACGTGGAAAAGACCTAAGCTAAAACGGTTAAACGGCTTAATTAAAATGTGACCCGCTAGGGTCTGATTGTGTGCAAATCTTATTGATTTGTCTTTTGATTGTTTATAAACATCTTTGTCTATGTCTGGTACATACGTTAGGATGCTTGATGGTTATAAATCCTTTTTTGTCTTAAATCTATTATGTTCAAAAGATCATTGAAGCATGACGAAATACTTTACCGAAACAAAATAAACAACGCATTGAAGCGTAGGAGAGGAAATTCTGCCCTATATACATAAACTACAGCGTTGAAAATGTTATAAAACAATTGGTTCATACATCAGCTGTGCGTTCATCGAGATATGAAGCACTTGGAAAGTTTGGAGAGCACTCGAGGAGCTAGAGTTGCTCTCCGCTACGCCTCGAGCAACTCTTACGCATCTTTCGGGCTCTCCAAACTTCCCTCGTGCTTCATATCTCGATGAACGCATGCTGACGTATGAACCAATTGTTAATTGCACATATGCTTGCATGTAAATCTCAAAGACAATAGCAGATGCCCCGATTGGGAAAGGGTCTACGGATGTTTCTTTTTCTTTTTAACTTCTTCGTGTTATACCTTTCCTTGTCTTGTCTAACTTTGTTTTGTTGCAAAATCTCTTCAGTATTTAGTTGAAATTAAATTTTCGCAAGACCAGGAAAAAAATTGTCAAAGATATTAGATTGAAAAATCACTGACTTTAAAACTGAGCAGAATTTAGCCGACATCCGAAACAGCCTCTATGAATGCCTCATATATAAGTAGAAACGTCTGGTGAAATGATGTTAATCTGAAAAGAGGAATATAATTTAGTTATGGTGTGCTTTTAAAAGCATTTGTGTTCAAAGTGAGTGACACCCATACTGTGGGCACAAAAGATCTTATAGGCCTAGCCAACTTAGCTGCTGATTGAAAATTGCCTTGGTTGGGTAACTCTATTTATATTTCACAAATGGAGAAGAATTGTTGAATGTAGCGTGCCTTTATAGAATGAATTAGATGTGGTTTGTACTGTTATGTGGCAATTTCATTTAAATGAACCATGGCCGTGGGTTAGAATACTAAATTAAAGCTTTAGACCTGGTGGCAAACATTTCCTTTTTAGCTTCATGAAAACTAAATCAGCAACAGTTTCTCGGTTTAATTCACGAAACAAGCTAAATTTGGTGATAAACTGTAACAAAATTGTCTTTATGTATTTTTGATTAGTTCCTGATCGAAAATTTTCCTAGATGAAAAATTTCATGTGATGACAAACATTTCTACCCTTCCTCATATGATTGGTTTAGCTCGACTCCTGTTTTGACCCAAAGAAAAACACATGAAGCAGTAATTTTGCGGATTTGAAAATCAATCTATTGTTTGTCATATGATGAGAAAAATAGAGAGACATAGAGTGGAGAACGTTCCTGTTTAAAGTTGAACTTGTTTACTTATCGGCTTAGTAAGATTTGTCACGAAATTTGAAAAAAGGATCGAGAACCATAGGATACCTTATGTTTTCACCTGGTTTTGTGCCTGCAAAGTTTAAAACGACATGTAACAATACAATCACATTAAAAAAATGCTCGATTTTTTCAAATTTTACGGGAATGAAAGTTCTTCACAAGTTAGACTGACGTGCACTCTATTGAAGTTCATAAAGATCTACAATCAGTCTTCAGTTGCTTTAAATTTCAAGATATGAGTCTGTTCTGTGTATTTCATTTTTAATTAGAATGAAGAAATACTTTGTTCTCATACAAGTGAACTGTTGAAACTAAGCTCGACAATAACAAAGTGACGGCCATTGGAAACAAATTGGTCATAGGAAATTTGAAAAGGTTACTTTTAAGCTGAATTAGGAAAATGAAGAGGGACTGAATTAAAACAATGGGTTATTTTCGGAGCCATCGCATGCCGCTCTACGTTCAGGTTAAATTACTTTCTTTTACTTTCTATAAACTTCAATTAGTTCAATTAAGAACGAGAGAACACCAAGAAGTTATGCTTTGAAAAGTTTTAATGGGCGCCTATAGCGTAGACAAAACAAATGTTTAGAGGCACGAAATTATTTCTCTGCTTGACAAATTGTTATGCTCATTTTATTAGTTCGTTTTGACACGTTTATTATATGCTATAACTGATGTCTCGACTAAAAATACCATGATTAGAATCTCCTGATAATAGCTTAAAGTTTGACTTAAACTCATTTACGGTAATGTCATGGTCAGCTAAATTAAAAGAGAATATTCTTAAACAGGGATAGGTTGCTTATTATGGTGCATTATTTAGTTTAACGCTTGCATTTCTTTTCAGATTCCAGTGCACTGAGAATTTATCAATATAGTGTTCTATAATTAAACTATTTGGATTTCACCGGAACATCTCTATTCACAATACTTAGCTTTCGCTTTAATAAACACCAGGAGACGTACGCACAATCATCAACGGTCTGATCTACGGCCTCTCGAATTTTACCCCCGTTTCGCTTGCACCAAAGGCCGGGAGGACAATTCCGTTCTGTGGAACCGTCGCTGTCTCTTTGTTCACTGCGTCTGCACCACAACCCTGGAGGACAATTCTGAAGAGTCTCGGAACTCTCGAAACCAATATGCCTCTTGAACGAACGCTGAGATCCGGTTGGACAGCTCTCTCTAACGTTTCTCGCTTTTTTGATGTCGTCAATCGTGTTTTTCTTGCACCATAATCCTGGAGGACAAGTTTTCAATGTTTCTGAGTTTTCAGGATATTCCAACCCTTTCTTTACAATATCAATTTCCACGGGCATGATGTTATCTCTTTTGCACCATAAGCCGGGTGGGCAACCGCTCAAGGTCTCAGAATTCGCATATCCTTTTTCTCTTTTACTTGAGCACCACAAACCCGTTGGGCACTGGTAACCGTCTTTCATAAATGCTCGTTTTGAAATGAAGGACTCACCAGACTGGATTTCGTTACGTTTACACCATAGACCAGGAGGGCAATTCTTTAAGTTTTCAGAGTTTTCGAAACCAGCTTCTCGTTTAGATGAACACCATAACCCAACGGGGCACTGTTTCTTACTTTGGTCTAGTATGTGTCGTTGTAATAACTTGTTAGACGATTCATCCTTTTCTTTTTCGCCATTCCTTTCGGAGCAACCCAACTCAGAAGTACATCGCCTGGATGTTTGTGGCATGATTTTAAAATTTTCAGTTGTGTCCTTATTTTTGGGTCCTTGTATATGATCGTTTATTGGACTTCGCATACTGATTTTGGCCCGTGACTCTGTGGGATTTGAAACAGCCGTTAATCGATAACTCCGTTTCTTAGCACACCATAAACCGGTAGGACACTGATAGGAAATTCTTTCTGCTTGTGAGACGGTTCTTTTTCTCTCATCTCTCTTTACGTGACTAGGTTTCTCTTCATTAATGCTCGTACTCGGTGTGCCATCGCCAATAAGTCTATTTCTACGCTTTGGAATCCCTCTTTGAAATGTTTTCGGCCACTTATCAACATTACCCGGATTTCGAAACATTTTTCCAGAAATATCTTTCAGTCGCTTCAGGAAATCACTTCGGGTATTGATTTCCGCATTTCCTACCCCTCTTGCCGTGTGAACTTGACAAACGAGGAGAAGTAGGATAGTACTTCCTGTGATGAGCGCAGTCATCTTGTCGTAGAAAATTTTGAACGCCGTCGGAACTTCGCCTTTTCGTCGAAGAATGTCAGGCAAAATTCCCAAAATCTAAGCGATACGTTCTCAATTAAGTTTGAAAAACGTTTCTAACAGTTAGAGGTCTCAAATGTTTTCTTTTATACTCGAAGAATTCCGGAAAACGCCAAACTGTTTAATTACTGATTTTCACCTGTTCGCTCCTTGTGTTACATTTCCTATTGCCCACGAATCATGCCAGTTTTGATAGAATAAACCTGTAATCGGCTTTTCTTTGTTAAAACAAATATAGCTAATCTTCAATTCATCTCTTAGTCTTTCCAATTTCTTAAAACCCGCAAATGATGGAGGAAAAGATTGTCTCCGCCCTATAAGATAACAAAAAATTGTGGTATGTTTTATTTGTTAAAATAGAGTGTCCTACGCGTTGAAACCATGTGCGTTGGAGGCTAAATTGGGTGAGAGCATTTTAAAACGGAAGAACGTTCTTGTAGTGAGATCTGATTTTTTTTTGTCCCCACTCAGTAAAGATTTTTCTTTTCTTATTAGAGTTGATGCATCATGATTTCTCGTAGTGAACTGCAATTTTATAGCTTAGGATCAAAGCGTAAAATTGATTTTATTTGGAGATAAACTTTGTTTACTTTAACCGTAACATTTTAAAGAATTTAAAGAAAATTCTGCGATTCAGTGACGACTTTTGGAGAATATATTTTTTGAGGCAGGTAAAAATGTTTAGTCAGCCT